ATTATGTTCAGTCACCGGTATACCAGTTGGGTTCAAGTAGAAGATGCCCTAAGTCAGCTAGAATCAGTATGATATATACATATATATGTTGCAGAGTACTTCTAGGCAACCCATACGCATTACGTGGTGAAGAAGTGCATACGGAACCATTAATCTAAGCAGTTGAAGTACAAATTAGTAGTCTTTCGTTGTATATATGGCATGAAGAGAAAAACTAGAGGTTCAGGTTTACGCGTCAAACCGTAAGAATTCTATTATTTATTTCTGCAGTGCAAAATACACTGGCTGCCAATCTGGGTTTCGTATACGCTACAAGGAAGATGAGTTCATCATTTGTGCCGCGAAAACAGTTCACAATCACAGATGTGAACAACGTCTTATGATGGGTGATCGTTATTTTAGGCACCTGTCCGGGGATGAAAAGGAGAATATTGCACCTGTTGTAAAGGCTACATCTGAGGTTGGTGATGTTTTGGAATATGCTGAAGAGAATTTTAATAAAATTTTGACGAGCACAGATGTGTATAATTTACGTAAGGATGTGAGACCGGGTACGTGATGCAGTTTAAAGTTGTTTTGCAAGCCATGCCTTTGAGACCAGACGTTATACACATAATAAGGCAAAGCGGTCAGGTGGCTGAATACGTAGATTCGAATACAGGGATTACTAACAGAATTTGCTTCGCTCTTTATTCACGGGTGCATTTATATCGGAAATATGGGGAGGTGGTGTGTATTGACTCAACATACAGTATCAATAAGGATGGGTAGGTTATACACGAAACGGTTGACAAATCTTAATCAGATATTCTCTGTTTCAGTTGGTGGTAACAGACAATATGGGTCATGGGAGGCCTGTTTTTTTGCATGGACAAGACGAGAAAGGGCATGTGATGTCGCTTGGATCTTGGGAGAATTCAAAAGAATAACGCAGAATACGTCCATTACGGAAACTTTCATAGTGGATTCGGCCAACTGTGAGATATCCGCCGTGCGTAATAGTCAAATTCAGGAGAAAATCGTCATCTGTGCATTTCATGTATGCCGGACTTTCAGCAGGAAGGTGAGGTGAAGTTAATTAATACTTGATACATTTAGACTCGAAATCCTTTTGTACGCAGGTTTCTATATTGTCTTGATAAATCTGCGACACCTGAAAGGTAAATGCATTGATTACTAACCATTTAGATTTTATCACTATCTTAGCGTCATTCGGACAGTTGATCGCAAAGTATGGAATTATGTCAGGCGTTACTGGGTGCCTAAGAAACAGACGTGGGCTACTGCACATATGCCGAATACCCTATTGGTGTTTAATAGCACCAACAATAGAGTTGAAAGCTCTCACAGTCACCTAAAACGATATCTCCACAGAAGAGATCCCCTACACATATGTATGTACAAGACGTAAAAGTGGTGTGCACACGCAGTGAAGCGTCGGAGTGTTGAAGCCATCGTCGAAAGTTGTCGTATTCATAAGTACCACGCACCAGAACCAGTTATGCCGATATTACGGACTCCACTCCTTATGTCGCTAAGTTAATTGCCAAAGGCTATAGCCGCAATCGTCGAATGAGCATAGAGTTGTATACTGATGATATGGCTATCATAAATGACGACATCTACCTGCACCAAGTGGAATATACCAATTCACCTTGTACCTGCAGAACTTTTAGGGCACAACGAACACATTGCCGGCATGTGCCGCTGTGTAACACTCAAATTCCTCAGTTTACAGGTAAATCAAACTCTTACTAGTATTTAAACTAATACTTTTAGTTGACAAAGTACTTCGACTGTGTCGCAGATGGTTTAAATAACAATGACGTGGAAGAAATTCCATTCTTCACTAGTAAACTTAATGAAAAAAATCATGTTTTTTATTCTAAAAACGGGATTATTCCTAATGTTTCACTTTATGTAAATACAGTTACATACAGTTGCACTAAGAACTCAGTGCAACTCGATGCACAATAGTATATAAACAAATAAAATGAAAAATTATGTCCTCTTTACCTTCTAAAAAACCTGTCCTTATTTCGGGATAATAACTTTCTTTCACGTATGAGACTGAGTTATGTCTATGAAATCGCAATATTGCATCAGTTAAATCTTCCCCCAAAACCAAGGCCACTTGAAACCAATAGCAACATAGCAACAAGCGTCATTGAGGGGATATGCAATAAAGTCGCTCCAACTTGGACATAACTGAAGGCTGTAGGGGACTGTTACGAGAGTTCACTAATATTACGAATATGAGAATAATAATCCAAGTCAATGAAATGTTAAATAACAACATATTACCAAGAATGCAGTAACGAGTTATATCAATAAAAAGGATTACTTGGATATAAGTTTAAGTCCTCTGCTCCAAATTATTTATATAATCCACGGGAACGTCAACTGTTTGGGTTGCGTCTGCTGTGTTCCGGTTGTAGAATCGTCTTCGGTTGAGGGTAGGAGACTCCTACAATAAATCCGAAGTATAGAACACGGTATGAGTGGAGCAAGTAAGCAGAAATAGCCAGAGAGAAGGCGAAGTTCCCAACAGCAAAGTCTATTTCCAATTGTACACAGAAGTTATATTTATTTTAACAAGAATCGTTTTAAACAAAAATCATGTACAATATCTCTAATTTCTACAAATAACCAAAAAGTGTACAATCATATTGTTACGTATTCCACAAGGCGCCGTGATTTTGTGGTGTCGAAGATGTACTTGAAAAAAGTGCCAACGGTCTGACTCCGAATCTAGTCCAGAAATAGGCTAGTGATAATTTATCTCTTGCTAACTTTAGCTAATTGCTTGATCGACAAATAAACAACTAATTTATTCCTTTCTCAGATGCTTCAATCTTCTGCGAGAATTATCTACTATTTTGCAGTATCTGTACGATTCCGGTTGTGTCAAATGAACACGCTACCTTGCTCATGTCACTGTCCCCTGTTCATAAATAAGCCCGTGGCGGATAGTCAATTTTTTTCCATATCCATGTCTGTAACAGCTGGTTTTTTCCTTCACGTTCCCAGTGGAACATGGGTCTTCAAGATAGAGACTTGAAGTTTCTGTAGCAGTGTTTATTTTTACAGGATGGGGTTGCTAGCCTCATACCCAACCCTTTCCCCCCGCCAGCTTTAGTCCTGGCTGAATGAGGTGAAGGAGTGCGATGGCCTGGGATCGAATCCTGGACCATGTGCATGGTTGGCGAGCGTCCTAACCGCTATGCCACCGACGCAGCGATAGCTGTTTACAGTAGGCCGTTATAGCAGCAAACTGAGGTCGGAAAATGGCTTGTTACTTTCCATACTACAGGTAGCAGATGTGTAAGATGTTTAACGGTAGAAAACAAAGGACTTGGTATAGGGAAGTCTATTCGGAATTTTGTATCCCTGTAAGTACACCATATCACCAAGTCATCTTTTGCACAGACCTTGACGAGCAAACGGGTAAGGTGATCAGTGTCCAAGTGTGAACGTGTTTTTCAAAGATAACGGAGGATACGGAATACCACTTAGTGCGCCAGTAATTTAGAGGACGATTTCCGCACGTTGTAAGTAATAGGACACTACAAAGTCGATCGGCGTCTCTTTTGGTATGTCTTGATTTGATTGACAAATCGTGATAGCATTTATCTGAGTAAAACTCTGGGTTTTTTCACTCGTCTGCCAGCAATTTCGATTGTTTTCAGGCTGTCCTTAATATCTGATGGATGACGAACGGTCCCAATGTTGCTGCTCAGGGATTCTTGAGCCTCCACTTCTTTGACATGTACTTGATAATGCATAGGCCTTCTTTTCTTTCTGTTCGTAATACATGTTTCTGCATGTAAATCCACTAATATGCACACACTCAGGAGAAAACGAAATTTCACAATTCTCACCACCACAAGGAAGACTTTCATCTTTGTGAGTGTATATATTCCGCCTAGTATTACTCTCAAAATGCATCTTGCCACACTTGGATTGTATTCCTCACTGAAAGCAGAATGTAAAGTGACTCTGATATGTTCCACTTCGTTCATACTTAGTTTTTCAAACTTCTCAGAGAACTTCAGTAAATAAAGACAATAAGACAGACGCCAGTACAAGATGCGTAGAAGCTATGGCATTTTAGATGGTCTGCTACAATTTTAATCCGACAGTAATAGTGAAAATAGCAGTGATAGTAATATGTTTATACCTGCCAGTGCACTAACACACCATCTTTGTCTGTATCAGTGGTCCGTTTAAATTATACCATTATAACTTCGTTGGCAAAAGCGTGGATATCTCCTGAGTTCGTAAAATAAACAAATATGCCGAATGGTTTGAATACAGACATTCACATTGTGTATTGTACCCTGAACGATTGTGTGTGCTGTGAACACAACGATATCCTAGGTCCAACTTTGCGTACTAAATAATGCAACCATTACGAGGGTTTTCATAAGCCGAGTGTATTTATTCACGAATGAGTTCGCAGAGTTTAAAACGTCCGTTCACCAGGTACAGCTTAACCAATACATAAGTAGTAATTCTTGGGACAGTCCAATTTCCCAAATAGTTTCCTACTTTCAGTTTTCACATTCGCAAACGAATGTGTTGGCCTCGCAAAATATTTTTTGAGTAAATGTTTATTTTTGCTTTGATATTTTGCTATCCTGTAAGCATTGAATTCACTGTCTTCCCACTACTTGTGACATACATTTGTTGGTACAATAAAATCCATTTTTGTAGCCATAAGATGTAAGTTTTGAACAATTTCGCATTGTTTGAATCCCAGTGGTAATTGGTTGAGTGTGCATAATTATCATCAAGCTCATCTTGCCTACAGTTTCCTTTCTGCTGTTTCGCGTGAAGTAGTTATCGATCGCCACAGTTCCTGCTCTTAATGCCGACCAGTATAAAGCTACCTCGACTCCATCCCAAGCATTGGAAACTTATTGTAACACAGAGGGAGATTTATCTACGCAAGGTCGAATATACACGTTTGTCCCACGTGGCTTGAGCTTAGGCTTACGATGATAAATTTCAGTGTATTCAGAAAAAGGTAACGTCATGAAAGTTAAAATAGACAGTTCTTGTTTCTCCTCAAGTAGTGTACATTTCTTTTCGGTTTCATGTCGTGTCAGCAGTTTCAAAATCTCAAGGTCATACTTTTCAAGAATGACCCACCAAGAATCGTTGAAGCCAGTCGTTACGTCGGATATTTGTTCTCCAGATTTTGATTCAGTTGTGCTTGTGGCTGAGGACTTGTCAGATGCATCTACTTTCATACCGCTGTCTAAGACCTTGCAGGAAGCTGCAGAAGTATATATCTATATATATTTATATATATCCATAATTTTTCTTAGGTTAACAAGAAATTCAGTACAGATGTTCATACTTTAACTTGTAGTTCTTTGCCATCAAAACGTTTGGTGAGTTCAACTGGACTTCAATAATTTCAGGTTGTATCTTTCACCGGTCCACTGGATAGGGATATCGATGATGCACGTAGAATAACCGAGGCATCGACAAAGGGTATATCTCAGTAAGTTAAACTTAAGTTTTTTAAATATGTGGCAGTTTTTTCATCAGAAATTCCATACTATAGACCTGGAATCGCTCAGAGGGATTTAATTAGGTCTAGGTTGTGCAGCTGCGCAGGCTTATTATAGAGCAGATATGTTGCTGCAGGTCTTCTCTTTTCTACTCCACCGAAGCCTTCAGAGGCTATCAACATTTATAAGTTGCAAGACAATCACTGTTCACTAAGGTTACCTTCGATGGACCTCAAAAAGTTGGCTTTTCAGTTTTTCACCACTTATCAGACAAAAATAAGTTCAGAATATTGAAATAATCAGGTATAATAGATTGTATACTATTAAAATTAGTGTCAAAATGTGGTTCCAGGTCAACGTTTGCGAGTTTTATTTACATTAAAGTTGGTGTGAATAGGCTGGGAGTAAATACAGTTAGCCGATAACTACTTGATTGGTGGATGAAGTGCTCAAAGAGATCCTGAGTAGTGTGTTCATTTTTTTTCCCGTATAGCCGGATTTGTGTACATCATATGCATAGCACATCTCACGTTTTCACTCTACTTTATTTCACAACTGTATTTAGCTTTAAACTGTCACTTTTTCTTTAGTGCTATCAAAATTGGTTCCACAAAACCACTTCTTTTGTTGGCTCCGTTAAAATCTGCTCAGAAGTTAACACATACTTGGCTTCAACCACCTGTCTCCTGTTTAGCATCATTGTTGGGTGCATTCCATGCTTTATATGTGGTAAGTTGTTTGTCTTTTGGGATTGTCTTGGAGAAACATCTTATAGTATCATGTAAAAATTAGAAAGATCATTATTTGGTTTCTGTTAGCTGTCTGTGGGTTGCTTGTATGAACCTTGTAATGTTGCCATGGCCAACATCATGGTCGTATGTAATTTTTATTCGTTTATCTTATATACTAGTGAAAATGGGAAGTAAACTGACACCCCAATTAAGAAGAGCAGAGGAGAAAGTAGTTAGAGGAAGTGATATTCATCAAGTTGACGTCGTTACAAAGTATGTTCAAAAAAGCGTTTACTGTTTAGTGATTCAAGCAAAAAGGCTACAGCATGTTAACCGTTGGTTTTTATTCTAGTCACATATGATGGTGTTTGGAGTCTCCCTTTGAGGTGATCCTTTGAAACTATCAAATACCCTCAGATGCTAACTCGACACAGTTTCCGTCTAATGGCGTTACCTAATAAGTTGATCACCTCCATATCAGCTTTCTGCGACTGAACCCATATTTCCTAAGTATTTTAAACAAATTGAGAACCAACTAAAAACAGATTTAGGATAAAAAAAGGTAAACGCTGCTGTTACATGTCGGGTTCGTTCGCGTAGGCCCGATGTATAATAGACCAACGTCAGTTGATGTTGTAAACCACCCAAGCTTACAGTAAGTCCTAACTAATTTTAGCCTCTGCATCGTTAATGCCTTTTTATGGTAAATGAATTTTTATCTACCTAAAATGAACCCGCTGTGTGCTGAAATAACGCTGATCGTTCTTAAAATGAGCACTGAATGCTTAAGTAATGCAACAAAACTTCAGGTGAAATAGTGCCTTTACTGCTGACATAAAGCTGGAAATATTGGCACTATGCGCTAAGTCCTATTGTTCTGAAGTAATGCCAGTCAGTGCTGAATCTGGGCTGAGAGCTGATTAGCGAACCCAGTAGGTTCTGAGCTACTTCTGAAAATGCCTAGAAAAAGCACAGGGTGCTGAATGAGTACCAGTCGTGCTGAAAACCAGCACTGACTTCTAGTTTGTGCGCATAATCAAAACATTTCAAAACAATTTCAGGATTTACTCATTATAGAATGTTAGAGTTAGTTCACAATTAGCGAGATTTAATTCAGTATCATAGTTGGCTTGGGTAACATTAGGTATGAGTTATTACTTCCTCATAGCTGCTTTATTTGTATTTCTTCTTATGTGGCAAATAACTGACATGTAATTATGTCCTATTTCGACGTTCATATACGCCTTTTTTTAAAGCAACGATGACCTCAGGCGAGGGGAAAAAGAGAAGTTTTAGCAAGAGTTGCGTAGTGGTAAATCCAAAGTTTTACAATGATACTGTGTCCAGTTCAGACATTTCCACAGAGGTTCATGCAGGTAAACTCGTCTTCGACTGTAGCAAGAATAGTTAAACACCATTCAACTGAATAGCAAACCATCACAGTCAAAAGTAGGTACTGATAATGGAACGCGAAAGTTATTTTAGTAACTTAGCTAGTACTTTCTATGAAATTGTGACGGAAAATGAGTACAAATGTTGATGCCACAGTACATATACATGCGCTCTATCTGCCGAGTGAAGTGGTATAATAAGGTGAGCAATATTGAGGTTAGGCGTCAGTCGAGTGCTAGGTAAGGAGGGAGGGGAAATCAATCGACGAGGCTGTAAAATTACATCGACTGAGATGGTTAGGACATGTGTTACTCATGCATACCTAGTCATCGCCTTCCTCGACGGTCAATGTTAGCTGACATAGGGTCAGGCTGGGAAAGAGCTAATTTTTAATTCTTTGATTTACAGCTTGATTCCATACTGTATTTTTGGTACAAGTATGGAATTTTCAGCATGGATATCGGTAGCCCAAATTTTGCAGGCCAACCATAGATATCAGGTGTGCATCGGCAGGGGATCGAACCTCGGACCATGTGCATGGTCGGCGAGAGTCCTAACCACTGTGCCACCGACGCACACGGTGATATGGCTCAAAATCGAGCTCAATGGCTATCGCAGATGCATCCACTCCTTGTGACTTACGATTTCCAATGGAACTATATTGTTCTTCTTTATTACTATTCCTTTGTCTCACACCACTGTTTACTGTCCCTATTATGCATTTTTTATACTTTCTCTTGCTTTTTGTGCTACATGGAGTTTGGCGACTTGAACTGGTGGACATCGGTGCAAAGTTCTATGTCGAAAATAGACAGACATATATACGATATCGAAAGCATACGACCAGGAGGACACTGAAGGTGGGGGTGGTAGTACGTTTTCTATGAACATCAGGAAGGTGATGTCTAACGGGTTTAATAAATTTTAGAATGTAGTTGCCTGGACGTAATTATTTTTATCCTATTTCTTAATGTCAACACTAGACATACCTTGCCTTTCTCCCTGTACTGCTTTATCGTTGATTTTCCTCTCATCATTTGTGGTGTTTGTAAGGTGTACTAATTTCGACCAAAAGCAACTTCATTTATCCATTGAAGTAGAGATGATTTATTTCTTCTTCCAATGTGAGTGTTATTCTATTGTTGTGTGATATTTTGTTTTTAGGAGTCATCTTTTTGTACGACTGTTTATTTCTTGTCTAAACTTCCCTCACTTTTTCATGATGTTTATTTTTTTACTCTTATCGTTATCAGCCGCTTGAAGTTCGTGAGATTACTCCAAAAGAAAGTCATACATCAGCAAAACCTCTTCAATCACAAAAAGCTGAACTCCTTGGATGGTATGCTGGCACACATTATGTAGTGGATCATAAGAAAATTGTAAGTTTCTTGTAATTGATATTTCTCTTTTGTATGTGTGAACATTTTTACATTCTTTTATTGTGAGAATGAATCCGTTGTTTCGTCCTAGTTTGGGACTCTTCAGAAGTACGCACCCACCACTCCGGTTCGAACCCAGGACCTTTTGGCTACAAGGCGAGCTCGTAGACCGTTGAGCCACTGGGGCCCGATCCAATGGTTCTTAAATTCTAACTTCCGCCAATTCACAACACAGCACGACCATTTCTCAATGTCTTCTTCGATGAGTTACTGCCTCATCTTCAACCTGCTGTACCCTACTGGTCACGGCTTCCCACTAGAACTCCAGGTCACTGCCTACCTGAATAAGGCCAGTCGCTAGTGAGCATCAGATCAATTTTCAAGTATTGGTTTTGTAGGGATTTTTTTATTGTATGGAGGATTTCAGCATAAGCTGTCATCAGTCAGAGAACCACTAGAAAGCCTGGGAGTATTGGACTGCTGTTTCGTCCTAGGAACTCTCCAGCGGTACGCACCCACTATTGAAGAGTCCCAAACTAGGACGAGACAGCTGGTTTTCCAGTACTCCGAGGTTTTTCAGTGGTTCTGTAACTGATGTCAGCTCTTGATAAAATCCTCCATCGAATCAAACAAAATCCCTACAAAAGCAATACTTGAGAATGAATTCGTGTTGATTTGCCAGTAGTGATCAGTTACCACTGAAGTATAACTGGAATTATGGTTTATTGGTGTTAGACACTCACCTTCCAACCATTAGGTGGTCACGGGGTTCAAAATGAATTGAATTGTTTTTTACTTCTATGCAGAATTCCAATTCAGTTCGAAATTTACGTATTATCACTCATATTGTTTTATTAGATGTATTTACATTAAGAGGAGATAAGGTACATAGCTCCTTAGGGTAACTGTCTCTTTTGGATAACTTGTTTTATAGACACATTTTCATTGAATAGACAAATAATTTTGATTGGACACAAGTAACTACTGTGATGTGTCTGGCTAGTCCTTTCTTTGGTGCAAACTGAATTCTATCAGTCAGGTTTGCAATGTGGCCACCATTCTACCAGGTAGTTCGCCGTTACGGCCATTACATTGATTTGAGGATATTAGAAAGTTGGAGGCAATTGGACACAGGAAGCCCTTCTCCACCTAGGTTTCGTGCTACTTGGCTCTCACCAGTCAGTCAATCAGCAAGGCGTATCTGCAGTCACCTTGAAGGAAATCATGTCCCCACTACCCACCACAGTCCTACAGGAGTTCAGTCACGAGCCCGAATAGCTCAGTGGTAAGGTCTCTCACTGCAGCACTGGGTGATGCGGGTTCGAATCCCAGAAGGGACATGAGTTCCTTCAAGGTGACTGCAGATACGCCTTGCTGACTGACTGGTGAGTGCCAACTAGCACGAAACCTAGGTGGAGAAGGGCTTCCTGTGGCCGATTTCCTCCAACTATGTAATATCATCAAATAGACAAATAAGCTTCCATCTCACACGGTTATTTGCAGTCTCCTTCAGCTGGTTTCACGATTCCACATTGGCTTTCATTTGCTTCCCCCACATAATATTTTCCATGTTACTCTTGAACGCTCAACTCGTCGTTTCCCATTTAAGTTTGAGTCGACAGCCAGTCTGTCTTGTGACGTGATTCAACGGTCTTCTCAGCATATGTCCAGTTAATCTCCGTTTGTGTCTCCATATTTGTTAGGCGATAAGTTCTTGGTTGGTTGACTGGTTGTCAAAGTTCCTTATTGTTTATCCTTTCTGACGACCTAGTTTTCAGTACGCAGCGGTAACAGTTGTTGAGAAAAATTTGCAGCCTGGTGAAGATTCTTTTGGTGATGAACCAAGTCCTTGAACCATATCGAAAAGCAGTGATTTGACATTAGTGTTCAAAATCTAGATCTTGTTCCTCATACTGAGTACAGCGGATTTCCATACTGATATGAGGGTGATGAAGGTCTGTCTCGCCTTTTCGGTCCCACCTTTGACATCCTCATCTATAACGCCTCCTGCAGTTAAAACGATACTGCTGACGTAACATAAAGATGGTAACTTCCTTCAAATTTTTCTTGTGTGGTTGTTGTTGTTTGTTATTATTGGTAGGTTACTTTCATCATCTCTGCCTTCCCTATGTTCACTTGAAGTTCACAGCTTCTGCCAACTTGTTTACTGTTTGCCTGTTACTCTTCGAGTTTGTGTGACATTAAACATAAGTCATTCGCGAAATCCAGATCTCCTGGAGGCTATTTGACGATCCATCCTATGCCTGTCTTCCTGCTTCCCATGGACTACCTTATGATCAGGAACGTCATCGATTATAATAGGCGGCCTTATCTAATCTTACGCTTGCCTTCAATTCGAAGCTTCCACTAAGCTTTCCGTTGTCAATCACTTGATGTGAAGCTATTGCATGAGGCTTGCAAAGTTGTAAGTTACTCCTAAATGTTGACGGTAGACGCTATCGGAAGCCCTTTTGAAGTAGAGATAAGCTAAAAATGTGCATAGTTTATTGTTTCAGTGAATTATTATTTTAAAACAATTAGTTCCCTTTATGAATTCAGATAAAGCAATAAGAAGACATAATTTGTCTGAATCGTGCTTCAAAGCATATTCCTAAATGGCTTTAGAAGCAATTGGAATCTTCAGAACCCATTAATGGTGAGAACAGGAGTCCTAGCTCCTCTATTGCGAAACATATTATAGAGACAGGACATAAAATTGACGTTAACACACCTTTTAAACCTATTTAGAAAATGCGTTTGGGGCGTATCCTAAAGTTTGTGGAAGCCCTAGTTGGCAGTTAAAAAGTTTAAACCACCTTTATGCGTTCAAACCAACAATTTGTCATCACACTAAACCTTCTTGGTAAATTTGTTTTGATACCATAGAAGATGTACTATTACTTCTGCTATTTGGTTTAGTGGTCTTCATTTTTATTTTGACCTTGAATATTTCCTTTTAACTTGACTTAACTTGTCTGTTTTCTCACCTCCTACCTTTATTAATTTCATATATATTCTTATGACAAGTCCGTGTGTGATCAGATTGTCTTCGAATGTGTTGCGCAACTACAATACACGATTCAGACAAATTACGTCTTCTTATTGCTTTATCTGAAGTATTATTCACAAGAAATATAAGAATTTCTTCAAGAATATATACATTTTAGAATTCCAGATCTTTTATTTGTTAATTGAAAAGGTGGTTATTTTTCTTTCTGCAGAAATTAGATCATGAAAGTATATATTCCATTTGATCTTTTGTATTTGACTGCGTAGAATTATTACACATAAATGTCTGAGCTTGTAAATTCTAAGAAACTCAACAACCACTTAGACATGTATTTATTGGTGATTACGGTAATTTTGTGTTTCTTGTTGAATGATTCTATTGAGCCAGAAATATTCGATCTCTGCTGGCACATCACCTCCCAGTAAGGACATTTCAATGAGGTCGACCGATTAACAGGATGTTATATGGTGGTTGGTGAATGCGCTTCTCGTCCCGTTTGGGACTGGTCAGCTGCATGTACCTGGTGTTTCCACTACGAATGGCACTTAGTACCCTTTCGTTCCAACCTCCGAAGCGTTATCGTTGCTCAAGTGATTTAGTGGAAACGCTTTGACGTTCGAAATGGTTGGTGCTGGGTTTTAGTCTCAGTAGAAATACGGTCGCTCACTGGGGGGTTCCAGTTACTTCTGACTGGCAATTTTTGAGGAAGGATGAAATGTACATCCCTGAATTTCACAATCCATTAAATAACACAATGTGCTTATAGATAGTTGCATATCTTTTTGTTTATCTTACAATCTAGGCTTCATTGGCTTGGTGTTTAGAAGAGGGTTTACGAGTTGCACGTGATATTGGCGGATCTGATCCAGAACGTATGAGTTCAAAGAATATTGTGAAATATCTTGAAAATGAGTTAACATTACCTGTTAAAATGACAGTTAGTCCAGTTGATGAAAAAGCCTATCCTATGGCAGCTATAGTTGATCGTGGAAGTAAGTTATATCTTTCTTTTACGTATTTGATTTGTATTCAACCTTCATAATTTGACTTCTTTCTTTACCATGACCAAAGGAGGAATTTATTCTGGTATTTCAAAATAATGTGGAAAATTTGTAGATCATGGATGAGAATCGGTATCATCTAATTTTCTACGAGCTTTTATATTTGATCATGGATGTTTCATAGCTAAGGCTTTGTGGAATCTTCAGCTCTAATTTCATTGAGAGCAGTGATTTCATCATTAATACTGCAACCTTACACGTAGTCCAGGGTTCGATTCCTGGCTGATGCACTACTCCCGAACCTCACATAATTGTGACTCACTGACTCCTAGTTTAGAAATAGGGAGTCAGGTGGTAGAGCACTTTGACCGCTTCACTCATCTGTGAAGTTACATCAGCTCCAACGGGTTGATCTCTGACGAAATCTCGACACGGATACAGTGGGCTAGTTTCGCATATGCCAGTTTACTCAGTCTCTGGCGTCGACGCGATATCCGGCTATCGATCAAAGGGCGGGCGTACTGCTCATCAGTCCGCTCCGTCCTCCTTTATGGCTGTGAGACCTGGCCATTGAGAGTGGAAGTCATGAGAAGATTAGCTGTCTTCGATCATAGATGCCTGCGTTCTATTTCCCGTGTGAAGTGGTATAATAAGGTGATCAGTATTGAGGTTAGGCGTCAGTCGAATGCTAGGTAAGGAAGGAGATCAATCGACGAGGCTGTGAAGCTACACCGATAGAGATGGTTAGGACATGTGTTACGTATGCCTGGTCATCGCTTCCTCGACGGGAAATGTTAGCTGAAATAGGGCAGGCTGGGAAAGAGCTATCGGCGGTCAAACCAAAACATGGCACCAGTCATGAAATACACAGCAGTTAGTTTAAGCTAGCCATGTAGGAAGGTGTAGACTTCTTGACTGGTTGGGGTCCTCGGGACGGTAAAAACCAATGGTTGGAGACAATTGGTGATATGGCTAAAAATCGTTCTCAATGGCTATCGCAGATGCATCCACTCTTTGTGACTTATGATCTCCAATGAAACTATATTGTTCATCTTTATTACTATTCCTTTGTCTCACACCTCTGTTTACTGTCTCTATTATGCATTTCTTCTACTTCCTCTTTCTTTGTGTGCTACAAGGAGGGAGGGTGGCAACTTGAACTGCTGCACTTCGGCGCAAAGTTCCGTGTTGAAAACAGACAGACAGAGAGACATGAAAAAATATGCTTGATCAAAAGTCATCACCAAAAATGGGTTGTGTGGTAAGTTTAAGGTTAGATTAAGGATGGGGACAAGTTAGGGTTAGGTGAACCTTATTTGGGAGATATGAGGGTTGGTTTGAAGTAGATTAGGGTAAGGGTTAGGGATATAAGTTCCAACTTGTCTTTCAGCTCTGTGGCTCTCTTCGAGCTCACACTGGTGCATTTGTGCCTCTTTGGTACTTGAAGTTTGACTTCACCTACTTATGATTATTAACTAGACTAATATTGGAATGTTTTTCTCAATTTTTCTTGTTTTTTTTTCTTGTTGACCTTTAGACAATGACCGACATCGAGGTCAAATTGTACACTTAGAATATGATGGATCCAGTGGATCGAAATCGGATGATCAACAGTTGACCAACTTATTTTTAGTTGGTAAAGGTGTCACATATGACACGGGTGGTTCAGATCTTAAAGTTGGCGGAATTATGGCTACAATGCATAGAGATAAATGTGGTGCTGCTTCTGTGGCTGGATTTTTCAAAGTTTTAAATCTTCTGAAACCTAACAACCTGAAGGTAACTTCTTTTTGTTGTATTGACCTTTATTATTTGATTGCTGTGTGTCTGACAAGCGTTGTGACAATTGTTGTGTCTTTATTATTATGTCATTATTATTATTATTCCCTTGGCTTCCGAGTGGGGGGACGTAGGGTCTCAGCAGCACATCTTCATTTCATCCTATTCCTTGCAGTCTTTTCTGTCTGCCTCTTCACATGATCTTCTCCATGCCATCCTTGGACCCACTCGCAACTCATCGCTTCCCATTTTGGGTTCCACTTAACTATTATTATTATTTAGATAAAGCAATAAGAAGACGTAATTTGTCTTATCTTATTGCTTTATCTAAATTCATAAAGGGAACTAATTGTTTTAAATTATTATTATTATTTAAACGCGGAAAAGCTTGTACAAGAGGATGCGCCACACAATAATAATAAAACAACATAGATTAAAAGTAAAAATATAAGTAGAGAACAGATAAAGAACTTCATCTGGAAGGAAAACAGTCACACTTAACAAGTTCAAACAGTATTCGTCAACTATCATTAGGAAGAGAAGAAAGAAGGAAATTGCAACACGTTAGCCATTGATTACGATTCTTGGCCATATCCAATAACGTTTAGAGCCATCGATTCGTGCTATCTCTCGGACTCCAACCAGGGGACGTGACGCACCATCCGATACTAACCTAGCACAAATATCCTTCATCCCACGACGTCACGTCATGGACTCACCACCTCCGCCTTTTCCATCCCGTCCCAGGGCTAGCTAGCGAACAAAGACCTGTACGGGAGCCTCTGGGATGACACCGAAGCCGGTGTTTCCAGATGACGACACGACGAATGGTGATCTCCACTGTGTTCAAACACACGCCGCCGAACCTCAGAATTACTCACGCGATGATGCCATCGAACGCAAGCAGTCCTGCGGAGACAGCGCACGCAGAGTCGCCGCACATCCTCAGCCTACTCGGAGAGGCCAGGTTTCACAGGCGTGGAGCAGGGCAGCCCGCACCGAAGCATTGTATACCCAACCTTTGACAGCCAGGCTAACGTCGCGACGGCGCCAGAGGTGGCTCAAGTTGATGTGTGCCACTCTAGCCTTCATTATACGGTTGGAAATCTCATCCGTCACCCCTCCGCCAGCACTCACACAACTACTCAGATACACAAACTTATCAACAATTTTAAGTGGTTCACCCGCAAAGTGAGTGCAGGTACAGGCTCCTGCTAGTCTTTTAACAGTACTTTGCACTTGGACGGTGCAAAGCACTTACCATACTTACGGACACTGATCGTCAACTGATTAAGTGCCATTTGGGCAGCCTGCATGCTGTCGCACAGTAAGACAGTATCATCTGCATACTCGAGGTCGAAAAGTTTATCTCCAGGGAGTAGTTCTACACCACCTTCACGCACATCCTTCAGAGCTGACTCCAGAATGTCATCGATGGCAAGTTAAGGAGAAATGGAGAAATTGGGCAACCCTGTCTAACCCCACTGTTGGTTGGGAACAGTGATGATAGTTGGTTGTATACCCTCACTCTACCTGAGGTGTTTCTGCATAGGGCTTTCAAGATGTTAACAAACATTTCAGGTAAACCCCTCTCTAACAGACAGTTCCAGAGCACAATTCTGTCTAACGAATCGAAGGCAGCCCTAATATCAAGAAACATAACGAACGTTGGCCTGCAATACGTGTGGCGGTATTCCAACAACTGACGAAAGGTGAACACATGATCAATGCATCCACGACCTGAACGAAACCCAGCCTGCTCTTCGCGAATGAATCCCTCACGTATTTTGCACAGCCTGCAAAGCAAGACAGCAGCCAATATTTTAGACGCGACTGGTAGCAGACTGATACCCCTATGATTGTCACATGAATTACGTCGACCCCTTTTAAATATGGGGACGATAATGGCTTCGTTCCATATTGATGGTACACTGTCAGTCTCCCATACCTTCCTGAATAATCCAGTTAGAGCCATTGTGAGAGTCCCGCCACCATCTTTAAAAAGAGCCGGGGGTAGATTGTCTGTGCCGGGTGCCTTATGGCGTTTTGACACTTGGAGTTCCTTACGGACCTCCGCTTCGGTCGGTGGGTCGGTACTAACCGACCAAGGAGCACTGGGGCTAGTGATATGAGATCCTGAAGCTGGTGGCCAGCTAAACTGTTTCTCGAAGTCCTCTGACCAACTTTTCAGGCTGGTAATTGGCGTGCCATCTGCCTCAAAGACCGTATCGCTGGCACTTTGTTTCTTGCTGCCGGTTGCTCGGAAGAGTTGGAACAGCCTCCAACTGTTGCCAGATGCAGCAGCTGACCCCATCTTCACACGCACGTTCTGATCACCAGGCTTCGGGGTCCTTACATAAATACTGTCTGTCTGTCTGTTTTCGACACGGAACTTTGCGCCGAAGTGCAGCAGTTCAAGTTGCCACCCCCCCTCCTTGTAGCACACAAAGAAAGAGAAAGTAGAAGAAATGCATAATAGAGACAGTAAACAGAGGTGTGAGACAAAGGAATAGTAATAAAGATGAACAATATAGTTTCATTGGAAATCATAAGTCCCAAAGAGTGGATGCATCTGCGATAGCCATTGAGAACGATTTTTAGCCATATCACCAATTGTCTCCAACCATTGGTTTTTACCGTCCCGAGGACCCCAACCAGTCAAGAAGTCTACACCTTCCTACATGACTAGCTTAAACTAACTGCTGTGTATTTCATGACTGGTGCCATGTTTTGGTTTGACCGCCGATAGCTCTTTTCCAGCCTGCCCCTATTTCAGCTAACATTTCCCGTCGAGGAAGGCGATGACCAGGCATACGTAACACATGTCCTAACCATCTCTATCGGTGTAGCTTCACAGCCTCGTCGATTGATCTCCCTTCCTTACCTAGCATTCGACTGACGCCTAACCTCAATACTGATCACCTTATTATACCACTTCACACGGGAGATAGAACGCAGGCATCTATGATCGAAGACAGCTAATCTTCTCATGACTTCCACTCTCAATGGCCAGGTTCCACAGCCATAAAGGAGGACGGAGCGGACTGATGAGCAGTACACCCGCCCTTTGATCGATAGCCGGATATCGCGTCGACGCCAGAGACTGAGTAAACTGGCATATGCGAAACTAGCCCACTGTATCCGTGCCGAGATTTCGTCAGAGATCAACCCATTGGGACTGATGTAACTTCCCAGATGAGTGAAGCGGTCAAAGTGCTCTACCACCTGACTCCCTATTTCTAATCTCGGAGTCGTGGCAGGCCAGTCTTGTAACATTATCTTGCATTTGGCGGAAGCGAATCGCATGCCAAACATTCGTAGATTGCTGCTCAAGGTGTTCAGAGGACTCTGCATTTTGTCAGCGTCTTCGCCTAGAAGGACTATATGGTCTGCATATTCCAAGTCAACGAGATTATTCCCTGGTAGCAAACACTGTCTAATCTCGCGCGTAAGCGCCTTCCGCTTATCGTTGTATTCGCTGCCTTCTGGAATGGACCGGCCTTCATCCAGGAGTTGCAAGGGAGTCACAGAAACCCAGTGGTTTTTAGCGGAGCCTTCTTTCAAGAGACGAGCGGCTACACTCGCCATTCGCATGGCATCTTGCAGATAAAGCCAGTGTTCATCTATAGTTTATGCTAAGCGCGTGATATTACTCAGTGGTCTCTTCAAACGTTTGTGAAGTCTATCTCCATTCCCTTCGGCATATTTCCTAGGAAATAGATTCTTGGTTGATTCATCGACGGCGTTTCTTGTTGCTCATCTTTTCTGACTGGCCATTTGATTTTCCGTGTGGAGCCAGCGAAGACAGGTATTGATAAAAGTTTCCAGCCTATATTAATATGTCTTTACGGATCATTATTATATACTGGGAACGAAAGCTCATTGACTTGAGAGTTTTACTTTCACTGATTTCACTCAACGTCGCTTCAGCTACTAAGAACAGTGGGTCTGACTCAGTGAAGTCATTACCTATCCTTGGAGTAAAAAATAATAAGAAACTATGGAATGAAGAGATTCCACTTTATATGTACTTTGAATAATCCCCTTCTTTATACAATAATTGCAATACTGAAATACCGTTTACAGATGTAATTTTTCCCAATCTCGTGTTGAATATTTTAGTTGGTTGCAGGTATTTTGATGTGGATTAGTCTTATCAGAAAAGAATGATGCTCATACATACTAAAACTCAGTTTTCTATTTTAGCTCCAGTTATTGTTAGTTTCCTGTGATTCATCTCAGTTCACCGATTGGGATTGAATGATTGACTAACTGAGTTTCAACATAGAACTTTTCACAGAAGTGCAAGGCAAATCCAAGTCGCCACACTCTCTGCAGAAAGCACAAAGGCAGTAAAGAGAGATTCAAAAGGACTATGATAGTCAGAAAATTGAGTGAGAAACATTAAGGTTTAATAGATGTGTGAAATCACAAAACAGTGAATGCATCTGCACCATTGATGAGAACGACTTTGAGCCATATCATCATCACTAACAGTTTGAAGCAATTAATTCTGAGTACCTTAAGGACCCTAAACCTTTTAGTTTACACCTCTCAGCATGGCTCAAATCAACTTTTAAAGCTATTGGCGGCAGCTAATTAGTGCCAGGTTTTAGTTTGATCAGCCCCCTAACTCTTTCCCAACCTGATGATCCTATGTCAGCTAGCATTACATTAGATGACACAATCTCCAATATAACGCATTATCTTAAGTTCTACCTTGATATATGCTGTCCCCAACAAACACTATTCAAACGCTTCGACCACTTCTCGTCTCCTCGTCTCAAACAACTACGCAGGCAAAAAGAAACATTATAATAAATCCAAAGATAAGTTAGGACTTAAAAAGATTAATGCTCAAATCAAATCTGAAATCAAAAATCTTAATGCAAAAATCTTATGTATAACCATACTCTTTTATCATGCAAATCTATCAGCTTGTGGAAACTTTTCAATGAAATTACTGGCAATAGTAAGCGATGTAATGTTTTTCCCTCTTA